AGGGTGGGGGGTGGCCAATGATCATCATGCACTGGGGAGAGTCTGGCCAGGGTTCCCCCTTTTCCTCTAAGATCCTAAGTTACTGGTGCTTCCTGTGGGGCTGCAGAGACCCACTCCTCTCCCTCTCTCTGCCTGTACTTCCCGAGAGAATGGGATCAAAGCTTCAAAAGTTCAACGCACTGCACCTGTTGAACCATAGTTATTCCCCCAAGAAACAGGATCAGAAGTTGCCTCTGTTTTGCGCGGACACACAGCCAGCCAGGGACACACCGATCCCAGAGACGGGCTGAATGTATCATGAATGTTATAGTAACACTTGGCCCCGCCCCCTGCCTATAAAAAGGTGCTCGGTAAACACGGCCGTGATTTCTATTTTTATGACCAGCTCCCTCTCCAGAACGTCACCATTTCTGCATGTTTTCATACGCGCTGCCTCCCCTAAGACATACCTGCGAATGGAGTGTGGGTTAGTGCCCTATCTGGCTGCCCGGCTCGGTTTCACATTTAAGGCGGCAAGTCTCTTGTGTTCAGTCCAGAAGGTTCTGTTTTTAGGTTACGGGTTCTATAGAAAACCACGGAAATCAGGCACCCCTGGAGGGGGAGTGTCTGTTGTGTAGAGTCTCTGAGTCCCTGCAGAGGAGAGTCCAGCTGGTTGAAAGCAAAGGTGTCCACCGGATAAAAGAGGGTGTGTCCCTGGGGGGCACTGGGGAAGGCGGGAGGTTAATCCAGAGCCACGGGCGGCCCCCGGACGCCTGTCAGGCTGGCAGCCCGGCGCAGAAGTGCTTGGAGACGTGTGGAAGGCAGGATGTGCCCAGGAAAAGGATGGCCTTACTGATAAAAATGATGGGTAGCCCCAATGCCATGCTAATAGAGAAGCTTCTAAGACTTTTATGTAATCATTCATGGATCCTCTAACAGCCCTGAGAAACAGGCCGATCATCACTGGTTTTGTTTTTGTTTTTTTTTTTTAAGTTTATTTTTTGAGAGAGGGAGAGAGAGAATCCCAAGCAGGCCCCATGCTGTCAGCAGAGAGCCCGACGTGGGGCTCGATCCCACGAACCGTGAGGTCATGACCTGAGCCGAAATCAAGGGTCGGACGTTCAACCGACTGAGCCACCCGGTGCCCCGTTATTTTCGTTCACAGAAGGGGAGAAGGAGACGACGGAGAGGGGAAAAGATGTGTTCAGCTCACACAGGAGCGTAGGGTGGAGCTGTGACTGAGACCCTGGCCTCCTCCTCCTAGTCTGGAGCTCGGAGGTCACCAGGACGTCAGGGGGTGAAGGAACAGGGCGGGTCTGTGCTCCAGCAATTGGCAAGTGGGATTTCAAACACAGAGAGGGGGCAGCGCCTTCCCTCACTACCACCCCCTCCCCCCATATCTGGGTGAAACAGATGAAAATGAACAGTCGTTTTGGGTTGCTGGGCTCATTTTTTCTCCTCCCGTTCCCACTACCTGTCTCCTGAGCCCCTGGGATCAGCTAAACATACTTAAACACGGGTGGTTTTTAACGCTTCTGAAATGGTTTCAGCTCAAAGCTACATAAGAGGCTCTGACTCAACACTGGTGGGTCAGGGGAAAGCACACAGACCAGACCCAGCCATTGTCATTGTCACCGTTCTGTGCCTCTCCACACGAGTGGCGTACTAGCTAACAGGTACTGAGCGTGTACGAGGAATCAGGCACTTTACTACACGTTGTAAATAGAAATGGTCTCCCTGGGTCCTTACTCAACCCTGTGAGGCTGGTGCCATCGTATCCCTCACTGAGCAGGTGGGGAAAGCGAGGCTTAGCGGGATTATGGAACTTGGTCCGGGTCCCTCTGCCGAAAAAAGGAAGGCGTGGCACTCAAGTGTGTGCTCAGCCACCAGGCCACTTGTCCCCCCGAGCGGATGGATGTCAGCACCAGCAGTGGCCTCTGTTTCTGGATCACGGTGAGGGGAAACACAGTGACAGTCTTCCACGGGAACTTTCTCTAAAACCCAACTCCTGATGGTTCACGCGTTTGCTCATTCAATGAAACGTTCCTTCAACAAGCACGTACCGTGGCAAGGTCTGGCACTGGGTTCGGGGCTGTGAACATCAGAATAGGAAAACATGGCCCTTGCCCGTCAGGGAGCTTGTCATAGGACCACTTCAGCAAATGGATGGAGGGGCGCCTGGGTGGCTGTCAGTTAAATGCTCGACTTCGGCTCAGGTCCTGATCTTGCGGTTTATGGGTTCGAGCCCCGTGTCAGGTTCTGTGCTGACAGCTCAGCATCTGGAGGCTGCTACGAATTCTGCCTCTCTCTCTCTCTCTGTGCCCCTCCCCGACTTATAGTCTCCCTCTCTCCCTCAAAAATAAATACATAAATATTTTTTACAAACCCAAAGGGATGGGTATTTGGACAGAGAAGGAAGCGAACATTAACGGAGTACCTATTATATGCTGTGCAATTTACAGGTTATCTTACTTAATTCCTAAAGCCAGTTTGGCGAGGTGGATATTACTGCCTCCATTTTACACATGATGAAGCTATGGTGTAGAAAGATTAAGAACACTGTTGAAGGCCTACAGGTAGTGACAGTTCCGGGATCAAAACAGGTCTTATTTAATTTTTTATAAGAACATAATATTTAATTTCTTTCACAGACTGCTTCCTCGTGGGTACTTACTTAGGCTAACACTAAGTGAACTGCTATATGCTAAACGTTCACATTTCCTGGAAGAAAGAAGCCATAAATGTTGTCAGTTAGTGG